TGATGTTATTACTGATAATTTTTCCAGAAAAGAAAATATATGTTCAAACTTTATTAAATGAGCAGGAATTCTAGTTCCCTCTACCTCTTGAATTACTTTTCATTGGAAAGTATTCTCCTTATATGATTTTATTGTGAACTGTCCTTTAGGTCTTGTGATAATGGTCACTGTATACTGAATGGAACACATGGTCCATCTTCAGAGAAGAAATCAAACATCCCTGACTTAGGCATATATTTAAAGGGTACGTATAGAATATAATTTCCTTTGTGATGTACATCTTAATGGTCAGAATTTAAAGGCAAAATTTCATGCCATTGTACTGAAAATACATTAAGGTTTTGTGTTATCCTCTAGGAGATGTTTTTGATTCAGCCTCTGATCCAGTGCCATTACCACCTGCCAGGCCTCCAACTCGGGACAATCCAAAGCATGGTTCTTCACTCAACAGGACGCCCTCTGATTATGATCTTCTCATCCCTCCATTAGGTTGAAACCTTTAAAAACATTTTCAACAACCCACCTCTCCTTCTTCTCTTAATTTCAGAATTTTCAGAATTCAGAGTTCACTATAACACAGACTCACTGGGTTGTGAATGTGCCTGAAATTAGAATGGTTTCTCCAGGGATGGTGACTCCCAAGTTCACGAGAACATTACTCCATGTAGATGATTAAAGTGTAGTGTAATAGTTGGGCATCAGTCAGGTTTTAAGCAAGTTGTTTGGTCCATACTAAATGTAGTCTAAAAACACATGAGAGCTTTGTGCTCTAGTAGTTTTGAAGTGATGACTTGAAGTGTTCAGATTTTCTTTAAGTATAATAATTCTTAATGAATATGAACTTGCTTTTCTTGTAGCATGAGCAGTTCCACTTATGCTAATTAAATTATGCAAAATTAAATAGTTATAAGTAGAGAACTGATAATAAATTCTGTTTTATTCTAATCAATACAACTATAACACATTCAAAAAACTCTCAATTTCCTTGTTTCAAATTATAATATGAAGAAACATCCTATGTGTATTTGTGTGTATCCACAGGTACACGTAGGTATGTATGTATGTTGAAGTTGACTGGTGCCAGTGTCACTGTTAATTTCATTAATTAGGAAGCATCTCATCCTGTTTTTAGAAGACAGTTAGAATGTCTGCACACCTTACATAAGGCTTCACAATAACAAGTCATTGTAACATAAAATAATATCTGAAGAAAATCAATTTACAAGCTTTTCTGAATTGGCTGTTAGGCCACCAGAAATACGAAATGAACCCTTCCATTTTCTCACAAGTACCACTGACTAGTATTTTGAATGACACAATAGCAGTATCTTTTGCTCCTGTTCACTCTATAGTTCAGAACTGTATTCCCATCTACATCGATTACAAAAGCCTCCTAACCTTCTTACCTACAGTCTTTCTCTCCCTTCCACTTCTTTCTGCACACTGGTTTTAGACGTATTACCCAGATCTTTATCACCTGGATAAGCATTGTTCAGTAAAGCTTTCTGTGGTGATGTAAAGGATCTGTATATTTGCATATGGGTTAAATGTGGTTATGGAACTGACTTTTCATTAAATTTAAATAGCTATATGTGGATGGGTGACTACTTTATAAGACAAAGTAGATAGATTCTCCAACCTGTCTTTTTACGTTGGCCTTTTTCTAGGTCTTCTTGTGCATGTCATTTTTTCTTCATACTATTTACTCTACTTAGACGATCCTGCCCTTGCATTTGACAAATAAATTTTTGAGCCTTCTGATATCCCAGTACTTTCTGTTCTTCAATACTTCACTGAATACTGCTTGTCTACATTTCTCTTTCTTCATCCAATGCATATGTCTCTTTTATGGGACCAATCGAACACTTTCACCTGTAACTCATACCTATTTGTGAGCTTTTTCTTAAGCTCCTTTCATGGAATCTCAGCTCCTTGAGTCAGAGCCTTATAATTTTGATTTTCATATCATGCATGACCCTGGCATGGTGCCTGATGTTTAAGGGCTGAAAAAAGATTTGAATAAATATGATAATGTGAGAAATAGCTAAAAGTTAAAATGATAGCAAAACTCTCTCCTGTATCTTCAGATATGTTAATAAGAAAAATATGATGATTGAAGAAATTATTCTGCAAATTTTTTCTAAAGCAAGTTCAGTAAACAGTAATATCTTTTTTTTTTTTTGAGATGTAGTCTTGCTCTGTCGCCAGGCTGGAGTGCAGTGGCACAATCGCAGCTCACTGCAAGCTCCGCCTCCCGGGATCATGCCATTCTCCTGCCTCAGCCTCCAGAGTAGCTGGGATTACAGGTGTGCCCCACCACCAAGCCCAGCTAATATTTTATATTTTATAGAAATAAAAGACAGGGTTTCACCATGTTGGCCAGGATGGTCTAGATCTCCTGACCTCATGATCCACGCACCTCGGCCTCCCAAAATGTTAAGATTACAGGCGTGAGCCACGACATCCAGCCTCATTTTTCTTTAAATATGCCATTATGTTTAAATCATTCAACTTAAAAACATGAATTTTTATTATTAGAATATGTGTTTGTGTATACCCTGTCTCATAAAGTATTTTGAGCTAGCTTGCAAAATTACATATGCTTTTTTTTTTTTTTTAAAGACTCAAGGTAATGAAAACTGTGAGTAGAATAGTAAGGTGTGTCAGGGGACAAATAAGTAGATATAAAAATATGCTGCAACATTCTAGTTATTAAAGCTGGGAAATATGCAAATGTAAGTAGTGTTTGGAACCAGAGAAGGTTCTGTATTTAGCTGTTCTTCTGTAGCTAAATCTGATAAATTGAAAAATATATTCCTCTGCTCTAGGTACATTTTATATATATTTTGACAGCATATCAAATATATGAAACATTAGGTTAAATAAATTAAAATCCAGTGGAATAAACTATATGGGATAATCTAATATTCTGTGACATTAAATTATATGTATTTGATGTGATTTTCCAATTAAAGGCTGCGAACTCTTTTTGTTACACAGAAAATCCTGTTTTCATGGTGTGACTGATAATAATTTTTAGTTCAAACTCTGAGTCTTAATATTATAAAGGTTACAAGTAAACTATGAGCTGTTTCATAAGTTACAATGCTGGTTTTTACAAAAAGGCCTGATAGAAAAAGTTTGCATTGGTGTGTTTGTATGTATGTGTATGTGTATGTATGTATGTTTGTATGTATATGCGTGTGTGTGTTTCTCTCCAGAATCTCCCACAAAATAATGAGATCCCGTTATCAAAGTTGGTGAACTGCTGGATAAACCCTGCGAGTGAAATTCTTTATAAGCAGCAAGAGAAAATCAGTTATTACTTTTGTTTGATGCTGTGTATTTTGATTAATGAAGTTCTGCTGCTGATATCGACCTTTCTTTAAATGCAGGTGAAGATGCTTTTGATGCCCTCCCTCCATCTCTCCCACCTCCCCCACCTCCTGCAAGGCATAGTCTCATTGAACATTCAAAACCTCCTGGCTCCAGTAGCCGGCCATCCTCAGGACAGGATCTTTTTCTTCTTCCTTCAGGTAGGAGGGAAAGCCAAAGAAAACTATTCACTTAAAGCAAAAATATTTCCAAAACCGTACTATCAAATAAATGCTAGTGATTCATTAGTCTCTACCTTCCTAACAGAACAGAAAAATTCCTGGGTTGTAAAAGTAGCAATTGTGGGTACATTTGTTTGTCAGTTGATTGGTCTAATGCCAACAGAATTAGAGAGATGGAAAGAGCAATAAAGAACTGCAGAATATAGAAATTAAGCTATAGAGATTGTCCAGTCCAGAAACCTCCTTATGTTACAAAATGCAACCCTGAGAACCAGAACTGCTAAGGGGTTAAGCTAATAGTAATGGGAACATATTTAGACTTTGTCTCCTGATTCCCAATGCAGTCTTTTTTAATAGGTTTTTAAAATTTTACTAGATATGCCTTAGTGTCATAATTTTGTTCAAAACATAAGATTTTGGTAAATTACATTGTTATAACATGAATAGAGAAGTTTTTCTGAAATAGCTGCATTTTATTTTTTTTGTTATATTTTTAATGCCTCGGTGTGTATCTACTCACTAATTATTGGTATTCAAAGGAAAACTAATTTTTTCTTAGTAACTATTTAATGCTATTTAATATTTATTTATATATTTATATATTATATATTATATAATTATTATTTGTTTAATATTAGTAAACTAATTTTTTATATTAGTATATTTTAAAATTTCAAAAGAGGATCTGAAATAAAAATGAAGACTTAATAAACCATCTGCTGCATTAGTTAGAATTATCAGGAAAAAGAAAATAAATTGTTATGTGGAATCTGCTGATACTAATTAACAGTTCCAGTCTGTCCTGTTAGTGATACTGTGCCCTGAAACTTTTGCCTCCTGGACTTGGTTTGGGAAAATATAGGGTAAAGATATTCTTGTTTTCATGAGTTCCTTACATTTCTACATGAGATAAATCATGAAAATCTTTTTTTTTTTTTTTAATTTATTTATTATTATTATACTTTAAGTTGTAGGGTACATGTGCCTAATGTGCAGGTTTGTTACATATGTATACTTGTGCCATATTGGTGTGCCGCACCCATCAACTCGTCATTTGCATCAGGTATAACTCCCAATGCAATCCCTCCCCCCTCCCCCCTCCCCATGATAGGCCCCTGTGTGTGATGTTCCCCTCCCTGAGTCCAAGTGATCTCATTGTTCAGTTCCCACCTATGAGTGAGAACATGCGGTGTTTGGTTTTCTGTTCTTGTGATAGTTTGCTAAGAATGATGGTTTCCAGCTGCATCCATGTCCCTACAAAGGACACAAACTCATCCTTTTTGATGGCTGCATAGTATTCCATGGTGTATATGTGCCACATTTTCTTAATCCAGTCTGTCACTGATGGACATTTGGGTTGATTCCAAGTCTTTGCTATTGTGAATAGTGCTGCAATAAACATACGTGTGCATGTGTCTTTATAGCAGCATAATTTATAATCCTTTGGGTATATACCCAGTAATGGGATGGCTGGGTCACGATACAGAGAAGATTAGCATGGCCCCTGCGCAAGGATGACACGCAAATTCGTGAAGTGTTCCATATTTTTTGCACAGCAAAAGAAACTACCATCAGAGTGAACAGGCAACCTACAGAATGGGAGAAAATTTTTGCAATCTACTCATCTGACAAAGGGCTAATATCCAGAACCTACAAAGAACTCAAACAAATTTACAAGAAAAAAACAAACAACCCCATCAAAAAGTGGGCAAAGGATATGAACAGACACTTCTCAAAAGAAGACATTCATACAGCCAACAGACACATGAAAAAATGCTCATCATCACTGGCCATCAGAGAAATGCAAATCAAAACCACAATGAGATACCATCTCACACCAGTTAGAATGGCGATCATTAAAAAATCAGGAAACAACAGGTGCTGGAGAGGATGTGGAGAAATAGGAACACTTTTACACTGTTGGTGGGATTGTAAACTAGTTCAACCATTATGGAAAACAGTATGGCGATTCCTCAAGGATCTAGAACTAGATGTACCAAATCATGAAAATCTTTAAAAAGTGCTCAGTTTGTCCTTTAGCTACGTATATGCCTCATGGAAACTTGAGAATCTTTATTCCCAGCTGATTCCCTTATCAGTTTCCTCAGTTGATTATTAGTCATGTCCACCATTAGTTTTTCTTAGTGTTTTTTTCTTTACTTGGTTTGATAGTTTAGAAAGTTTGAAGAGTTTTGATAAGACACACAAGTTACGGACATACAACTTGAATACACAGCTTCACTTTCTTAAAGTGGTTTATTTTTCAAGAATAATCTTCTGCTTAATTTTTCATCAGTAAATATTGATTGAGCCATCCACTGTTTACCCACTTGTGATAGATGCCTCCTGACCTCTGGGACCTCATGAGTTCACTGGATGCTGCCAGTTAAAGCACTAGTGTCATAACCCATTCCAGTCCAAGCAGGAAGTATAGTGTATTAGTCCGTTTTCACAGTGCCGTAAAGATACTACCCAAGACTAGGTAATTTATAAAGAAAAGAGGTTCCATTGACTCACAGTTCTGCGTGGCTGGGGAGACCTCAGAAAACATACAATCACAGCAGAGGTGAAGGGGAAGCAAGGCACGTCTTACATGGCAGCAGGTGCAAGAGAGAGTGAGCAAGTAGGGGAAATGCCAGACATTCATGAAAAACCAGATCTCATGAGCACTCACTATCATGAGAACAGCATGGGGGAACCACCCCCATGATTCAGTCACCTCCCACCAGTTCCTTCCCTAACACGTGGGGATTACAACCCAAAATGAAATTTCAGTGGAGACACAGAGCCAAACCATATCATAACTGCTTAGGCTTTTATTCATATAGCTACATGTCAACACTGCTATATTTTGCTATTTTTTTTCACTTATTCAAAACTTTGTCTTATACATAGACTTTAACATAATTTTTAGAACAATGAGTCATTCTAAATCTTAGTTACTTAAACTTCCTGATGCTAAGTTCAGGATAGTTTCTGGCTCTCCTGTCACCTTTTATATATGTAACTTAAGCCCCAGTAGATGAAACTTTGATGTTGTGGCATTTTTGAAAAATAAAGTCAAGCTCTCAAAGAGCTATAATAGAAGAGAATATTTTACACAATTATACACTTTTACCTGTTTTTGTCAAGAGAATTAATTGTAACAGGTTTTATTTATTTTATCTTAATTGTTCATTTCCTTTTATGTAAAAATCTTCATAAAGATACCCCTCAGGATTAACTGCCAAAAAATTACTAGTTTAAAATGAAAATGTCCCCTCTTATTAGCTAAAATGCAAGTTTTATAAACTGTTTTACTTATTTTATAGATTTGCCTGTTTTGTGTTTGCATGGCTGCCAGGGAGCTCAACAACAGTTATCCTTAACTTAGAGTGTCAGGCTAGCATGGGGGTCAGGGCAATGTTCTTCAAGCCTGTTGACTCTCTCTTGACCCTCTTAATACATGGACATATTCTAATTCTGTTCCAAATAATGTTGCCATCTCTTACAATAAGTATTTCTAAAAAAAAAAACAGGCAACTTTTTTTCTTCCTTTTCCAGTCTTTCATGTCATTTACATGACAAATTTCTAGTCTGGTACCAGATCCTTTATGACTTTTTTTTTGGGGGGGGGGGGACAGGGTCTCACTCTGTTGCCCAGGCTGGTGTGCAGTGGTGCGATCTCAGTTCACTGCAACCTCTGCCTCCAAGATTCAACTGATTCTCCTGCCTCCGCCCCCTAAGTAGCTGGGATTATAGGTGTGCAACACTACACTCCGCTAATTTTTTATATTTTTAGTAGAGATGGGGTTTCACCCTGTTTGCCAGGCTAGTCTCGAACTCCTGGCCTTATGTGATCCCCCCGCCTCAGCCTCCCAAAATTCTAGGATTACAGACATCAACCACCCAGCGCCTTTATGTCTTTCCTGGTGACAATTATTTTGATTCAAATTTAAAGCCATGTATATTAACTTTCCTCCTTTTCAAAAGAAATATTTTAATATTTTAATGCTGTTACATAGTATCATAGAGCATAAAGGTTTTTTTGGCTGATAAATGAGCATTTGAGTATTGTTTTGCAAAGTATTTAATACATTATACTATCTAAAAAAATGTAAAAGATTCTCGATAGCAGTTCTTCTCCCTAAGAATTGACTTTATTAAGAATATGCTACAAATGCTAAAGTTTAACTCAGTAGTTTTAGAACTATAAAAGGTAAATAAAAGGGACTGCTAAATTTAACCAACTCTGTGAGCATTTTGCTGTTGTTTTCGTTGTTCAGTCTGTGAAATCTTAGTCTGGTGTAATGATACATGTTTTCTAAACATTATTGAGATTTGTTCCTGAGGAAATAATTATTTCTAATTAAAGACAAATGATAGGTGTCTTAGGAAAAGAGGTTGAATTTTCTTATGATATTATACTAAGTACCTAATCAAGCCTACACTTTTATTCCAGCATTCAGTGCCCTGCACAGTTGGGCCAGGTTCAGCTTTTCAGCCTTATAGCTCATTGACTTCTATATAGTAGTGATTGTCAAACTGCAGTGTCCTATGTCTCTGCAAAAGAGCCTCAGGACTCTTGTAGGATCAAGGGAGCAGGGCAAGCAGAGCCAGGGCTCTCGTTCTTCTTTTATCTCTTTTTCTATTTTAGGCTTTCATACAAGATTTCTTTTGGCAGAATAGTAATGCCTACAGCTGTACATGAGCCATCAATTTTGGACAGGCCAATCATTTCTTAACAAAACCTGAAGTCCTCAACCAAAAAGCTTTACACTTTTTTGTCTCCAATCCCAAGGCTACCACTAGTGTATATGTGCTTTTTTCCATATTACAAAAAAGTACTTCCTTTTTGCTGGTGAATTGAAGTAGACACCCCTCTGTCTACTTTGTGCCAGGCCAGGACTCAAGAAACAAAACAAAGGTTGTATTTAAGTCCTTCTCATAACCATAACTAGGTGTGTTTGTGCAGTGCACAAAATACAGTGTTTTGTCAGTCCTTATGCTACCTTTCTTTTGCTGTTTCTCTAACCTGTAATCTCATTTGAAGATCTTATCTAAAGTCACAGTTAAACTCTGAAAGCTAGCCAAATTGACTTTATTAAAGATAAATGAAAGTTTTATTCTTGGATCCAGAAATGCATGAGTAAAATATGAAGAAAATCCAGATCACTAGCAACAATTGTTGAAAAGGTTTTAGGGGTTTTGTTGACTACAGTCTTTATAAAGCATTGTCATGATAAGGAAGCTCATGCCATTTGGGACTTGAACTCACAGAATTCAAATCTGAGGAGTGAAGTCCTCCACAGCACTCAGCGTTTGCGGAGACCAGGCAGACGTTGAAGCCTTAATGGGTTAGAGCAGAGGTTCTCAAATGGTATTCTCCAGATTCACAACATTAACATCTCCTGGGGATGTGCTTTAAAATGAAAATTCAAGACTTAATACATCAGAAGCCCTGGGAATGGGACCCAGTTGTCACAAGCCTTCCTGGTGATTCTGATGCATATTCAAGTTTGAAATATGCTGGGCTGGGGTATTCTCAAAAGAGTGCAACCAGGATGATAAAGTAAACTAGAATGGATTAAAAGAACTGAGAATTGGCTCAGAGAAGAGAAGACCTTGGATGTAGATGAGAGTTGTCTTTGGTTACAATATTTGGAAAAGAAGGATTATATTTCTTCCATGTCACTTCAGAAGGTAGGAGTAAGATCAATGGGAAATGTTAAGAATGAAAATTGCATTCATCCTACAAAGAAGTTTCCTAAATCATTACGAATTGTTCTACCTGAGTGTAGTGAGTTATCTGACACTGGAAGATTTAAACCAATGGTAGATCATTACACACTAAGATAAGAACGTGAGCTAAAGCATGAGGGCAGCAAAGAGGGGAGAACTTTGTTTCACCTAAATGGCTCTTCAAACCTTTTCTAGCAATTAGTTTCTGCTTTGATATACTCTATTAAAATTTGGGGGATAATCAATAAATTTTCCAGGTGGTTTATGGACAGCCAGGGAGGAAATTTGCCATTGTTTTAAATATTTAATTTTATTTGCCTCTGTTTTTACACTTGGTAAAAATTTGGAAAATATTTCAGATAGTGAAGAAAAAAAAAATTAAGAAAAACATTCTGGGCCACGTATGGTGGCTCATGCCTGTAATCCCAGCACTTTGGGAGGCTGAGGCAGGCAGGTTGCTTGAGCTTAGGAATTTGAGACCAGCCTGGCCAACATGACGAACCTCCAACTCTACAAAAATATAAAAATTAGCTGGATTGGTGACTCGTGCCTGTAGTCTCAGCTACTTGGGAGGCCGAGGCAAGAGAGCAGCTTGTGCCCAGGAGGCGGAGGTTGCAGTGAGTCAAGATTGCACCACTCCACTCCAGCCTGGGTGACAGAGCAACACTCTCTCAAAAAAACGAACAAACAAAAAAACCCATACTTCCTCCTACTAAAGATAATCATTGTTAGGTATCCTTCTTTATTTTTTTGTTTTTGTTTTTGCCTATGAGTATGTAAGTTCACATTTATGTAAAATTTATTTCTCATAGTACATGCTGTTTATAA